GGAAATGTAGCTCAGTGGCACAGTGCTTGCCCAACATGTGTGGGTCCTTGGATTTGGTTCCCAGCACAGCAATATTTAAATAAAGACAGAAATGGCATGTGAAGGGACCAGGGATTTAGCTCAGTGGTTCTGCTGCTTGCCTTGCAAGCACAAGGACCCGAGTTCAATCTCCAGTACAAAAAAAAAAAAGATTAAAAAAAAAAGAAATGGCATGTGAAAATGTTGCTGGCCCGTGTGGCTCCTTGGTTTAGTGATGATGGAAATGAAAATTAAAGTGACAGGCAAAAGTCTGAATTGGACAGTAGAGAAGGTAGGGAAAGACTACAGCTTGAGTAGTAGCCGCTGGGGGTGGATACTAATGAATAGGATCAGACTGGCCCACTCATAACTGAAAGAGAACCAGGCCAGGTTTTTTGTTTTGTGTTTCTTTTGGTACCGGGAACTGAACTTGGGTCCTTTCACTTGCAAGGCAGGCGGTGAAACCACTGAGCTAAATCCCTGGCCCAAGCCCAGGTTTTACCAATTTGCTGGGGTGGGATAGAGGCTGGCAATCATGATCTCAGTTCTCTTTTGCAAGATGACTCCGGAAGGCCTTTTGCTGCACGGGGCAATCGGTCTCTCTGAGATGACTGTTTTTGCTTGGCCTGGTCTCAATCTCTCGTGAGGCACTGCTGGAATCCAAGGTGACCTTCAGTTTGTGGTCATGACTAGAGATTTCTGGGAGTCACTGAGTGGCCCTAGAAATTCTTTATCTTGGTGCACTCAGTCTTTAAGGTGTATAAAATTATGTAAATTCAGGAATATTCAATCTTGTTTTGCCAACATTTAGACAGGTACTTCCTTAGTGATTGATGTGTATATGCAGAGCTGAGAAGGGATTTGACCCAGAGTTTTAAAGTAACAAAGGATACAAAACGAAGGTCAAACTTTTTTCTACTTTTAGTATCATATTGGGCATCAGAAGACCTAAGTGAAGAGTCACAGTTTTTAGCAAAAACCACTTTAGTCTCTGACTGTGTCAGAAGAAAACACAAATAGTGCTTTTCATGAGTATCAAGTTAAGGCCCTGGAAGTTTGTTTGTCCTTTGTCCCCATAGTGGGCTCTGACTATGTCTTGCCTATGTCAAATGGCGCCTAGGAAAAGAATAGCCCAAACAACTGCCCACTGAATGGACAAACAGCTGGGTTGTCACCCAGGAAAGCGTGCTTAGGTGAGCCTGTATGATGAAAATGTCCTGGGCGGAGGTAGAAATTGTGTAGAGAAGGCAAAAGGAAATAGGGTGGAGCCTTTTGTGTTCTGAAGGAAGAAGGGTTTCCTCTGGGAAAACAGCTCTAGCTGCTTCCTTCCTTCCTTCCTTAGAGTCTGCTGTCCTGTTCAGCATGGTAGTCGCCAGTCAAAGGAAGCTATTTAAAGGTAAATTAATTAAATAAATTAAAAAATTGAAGCCAGACATGGTGCAAACCTGTAATCCCAGCAGTCAGGGAGGCTGAGGCAGGAGGAATACAAATTCCAGCCTCATCTGAGTAATTTAGCTACTTAGCAAGATCCTGTCTCAAAATAAAAATAGATAGGGCTGGGGATGTAACCTGGTGCAGAGGCCCTGGTTTTGATCCTAGTCCAATAAATAAATCAAATCAGTTCATCAATCACAGCAGCTGCATTTCAGGGTTCAGTAGCCACATGTGGCTAGTGGCTACTGTAGTGGACGGCACATTTCCATCATCATAGAAAGTGCCTTCGGACAGTGCTAGATTAGGTTTACTGGGGAATCAGAAGGGGGTGCATATGCTCTGGTCTTTCCAGAGTCAGATCTCTAAGGGACCTTGGGCACAGAGTTAACTACTGTCCTCTTCCTGCCATCCCCTTTTTTTTTGTTGTTTTTTGAGACAAGGTCTTGCTATGTGGTTGAGGCTGGCCTTGAACTCACTATTAGCCCAGGCTGGCCTCAGACTGACAGCAATCCTCCTGCCTCGGCCTCCCGAATCCTGGGATTACAGGTGTGGGCCACCATGCCCGGCCTCTCCCTTCTTGTGCTGGGAGCCAGACCATGAACGCGGTCACCAGACTCGGGAGCTTCACCGTCTCTCCAGCCTTGTCTTGCCCTCTGGTCTGTTCTTGTCCTTGCTCTGCCCTTCCAGTCCCTGGAAAACAAGCTGCAGAGAAAACTCTTCCATTAACTTTGACCTAGTTTCCAGATCACAGAGTCAAAGGGGAGGAGCCATTACATTTTTGAACAGGTGAGAAAGAAAAGGAGAGGTCCAGGTGAAAGTCTCCATGCCAGTAGGGAGAGTTAAGAGACTGCCAAACTGGCAATGAGAAACAAAGAGCGCTAGGAGACAAAAGCAAATGAGCTACGGAGACTGTAAGGTAAATAAGCAAACAAAACATGAAGATTGAAATGGAAAAGATCTTTTCTCAATTCTACTTTGTTTAATGCACATTAATTTTTTTCCCCCTGTACTAGGGATTGAACCCAGAGCTTTCATGCTGAGCTACATCACCAGCCTTTTTTTTTTTTTTTTTTTGGAGACAGAATCTCATTAAATCGCTAAGTAGCCCAGGTGGGCTGGAACTTGGGATCCTCCTGGCTCAACCTCACAGTGTTGGAATTATAGGATTGCACCACTATGCCCAGCACACATTGATCTTATATAGGATTTAGGGGAGCCAAATAGGGCTAGGGTTGACCTCTGTCATCTGAATTTCTCATCTATTACTCATTTAGTAATGAAATTCATTTCAATTAGTGATGAAATCATGGTATCAATCTTTTTAATTAATTTTTTTCTGGTACCGGGGATCGAACTCAGGACCTTGAGTTTGCAAGGCAGGCTGTAGAACCACTGAACTAAATCCCCGGCCCTTTTTTTTTTTTT